GTTTTAACTGCTCTGGTTGCAGGGCTAAGGGCATTTCTGGGTCTTGGCTTCCTGAACTCTGGGTACTTGGTCAGAAAATGTCCCTCCCCACCTTGTTAAAGGAGACAGCATTGTTCATCTGGGGCTGTCTCTGGAGCTCAGTGGCCTGCAAGGAGGTTCTAGTGGGCGCTCAGAGAAGGGATATGATGGTCCTTCTTCCGAAGCTGCATTTTTTGATTCTACACATTTTTCAGGGCAGGGGCGGGGCTAAACATGCTCCTGTGAATCAAGGCTATGGTTTTCATTCTAGCTTAGATAGTCACGCACCAGGTCAGCAGTGAAAGGAAAATCAACAGTGCCTGAGCAGCCACAGGCTAACTATTTGGTGGACAGAAAGGGCATGGGATATTTTGTAATGCAGCCAGCTTTACACAGCCAAATACTCCTGTTGTTGCTTGCATCCTATTGTAGCTGTGAAGCACATGGGGAACTTTGCGGCAGGGTCAGCTGGTGAGGTTGGCAGATCACACTGGTGCTGAAGAGTGCTCACCAGAGCAGGTGGTCCAGCTGTGAGAGACCCCAGCACATGCTGGACAGGGACTGCTGGTCCCACTGGTGCTGGTACTGCACTGTGCTGGCCTCACTTGCCATGGGACTGCCATCGGCTGGCATGTGAATGCTGTGTGCAATGTATTTTATGAAATGGGCTAATAGCTCACAGCCAGGTACATTTTGCAACACCAGGTAAGTGAGCTGTAAAGATCAATGAAAGCTTATTCTAAAACACGCATTTAAAACCCCTCAGAAGGACTGCAAGGTGGTGAGCACTGCTGGGACAGTCCCTAATCAGTCTGTTCTCCTTGATCCCAAGTGACAGAATGCAGGCCAGCTCTGAGACATGTGGAATAGCAGGTGATGGAACAGACTGTCTGGGAGACTGCTCTGTTATTCTTTGAGCTCTGCTTTTGGCTTCCAGAGGAGCTGATGATGTCCTGGTGCCTTTTTCTGCATGCCTTCCTCCTGCCTTATGTCACCTGGGTCTCACCCTAGTTTCATGGCCACTGCAACACCCAAAGATCATTCATCATCCCATAGCCCAGCCATGGGCCCAAGAATCACGGAATGGTTTGGGTTGGAAGGGAGCTTAAAGATCATCCAGTTCCAACCCCCCTGCCATGGGCAGGGACACCTTCCACTAGACCAGGTTGCTCCAAGCCTCATCCAGCCTGGCCTTGGACACTTCCAGGGATGGGGCATCCACAGCTTCTCTGGGCAACCTGTCCCAGTGCCTCCCCACCCTCTCCAGGAAAGAACTTCTTCCTGATACCCAATCTAAACCTCCCCGCTTTCAATTTAAACCTATTGCCCCTTGTCCTGTCACTACAGGCCCTTGTGTACAAGGAAGCTGGAGGGAGCTTCCTTGTAGCACCTTCAGGTACTGGAAGGATTCTCTGAGGTCTTCCTGGAGCCTTCTCTTCTCCAAGCTAAACAATGAGCTTGAAATGAGCTCCCTTCCACAACCCTGCTGATCTCAGTAGAAAGAATATCTGGAAAAACCTCAGGATCTTGCTGGAGGACAAAGAAATAAAGTTGGACCTGGAGTAACTTCTGGTCTCACAAGCAGAGACAGGTTGTTTCCAGCAAGGGCCGTCTGCGACCCAGAAGTGGGCAGCAAGCAGCCAGCTCTACCTCTTTCCCATTAGTCTCACACGTGATTGTAACGTAGAAGCAATTCCTTTTGGACCTGGCCTGGAAGATGGCCAAGCTGTGCTTTCCCATGTTTACTTAAAAGTTTTCC